GACGTAACCCTTTTAGATTAGTGTTTACTATATAAACCACCTACTTTAACGTTCATCTCTCTTCGTGTTTCTCACAGTTTATTTATATGCCTATGTTTAATTTGATTCTCAGAAAAAGAGTAAAATTGATCTTGAAGATCATTAATGTACTTGCATGTGAATTTTAATTTGGATGGACTTGGTCCTCTAAAGGGCTGAAACACTGTGACTGCTGTTGACGGCCTGCAAGGCATTGTATACAAGATTAATGCGTTTTAAAAACACGTGGCTAAGGAAATGGGCAATAACAACGTAATTATCATGTAAATGTGTGGAACGACCTGTACGAACTATAGGTCAGTAGAACTGAAACGGATGTGTAATGTAGAACAGTTAAAAGATGGAGTGCTAGTGAACTGATGAGTTTATTCTTCTACACAGCACGGAAATATGTATTGGAAATAAAAACCAATAAATATTATTATATTTCATTGGTTATCTCTAGGCCTATGTCAGATCTTAAAGAAAATGTCTCTTTGTGTTATCAGCTCATCACAGGATCGAGGAAATGGTGTTTTCTGTAAGTCTATTACCAGAAGGGATTGCATGGAAAACACTTTATGTTGGTAAGAGATGTTAAAGTAGGATTTACTAAGTCATAGGTAATGAAATAACGCCGTGGCAAGGTTTTGCAGAGTTGAACGATGTACTGAGAATAATTTGACAGAAAATGATTTTCATGAAAAAGGAGACTGTCTCTTTACGTCCACCGAGAGGTACCTGAGTGAAAGTCTAAGACAATAAACCATGGAATCCACATAAGTATAATTGTTATAACTCTTAAATATTATTATTGAAGGTGATGTTGATAACAAGAAATTTGCCCAGTTTATTTGATATATTTACGTGTTTAATTTTGTTCGTAATAGAGCAGGCCACTGTCATGTAACCCCAGGAAATACAACAACAATAACAAAAATAATATCTTGCTCCCCCAATACCGGTTATTTTCAAGGGTTTTTGTGGCTTTCCTGAGGTAGTACCTTAATTCACAGTTCATTATTCATCCTATGACCCGACGGTCTTAGGGCTAGCGCGCACGAGCGGATTTTCTACCGCAGCGGTGAAACTACCGCAAACTCATATTCCTGTTGTCTGTGCACACGGAAGGTGAGATAAACGCCTTGTCTGCGTTTTCTTTTCAGCTGGCAGCTGGATTTTGTTGAGACGGTCGTGCGTGCACACAGGTTGGTTTCTTCTTGTTGTGCGGCCACCGCACCGCATCGAAAATGAAGCATGTTGTATACTCGCCTCCGCTTGAAACATTTCGTCAATGTCGCAGAAACTCCGCTGTGGTCCAAACCGCTTGTGTGCGCAGGGTCTTACAGTGTTAGCTACGTACAACGTCGTTAAATAATCATCAGATAAACAAGTAATAATAAAAACAATGAAGCCAAATAATTATTATTGTAAATAAATCTGAAAAAGAAGCACAGAAGTTGACTTCTTGGAATCGGCAGTCTGTAACAGTTGCGTAATTTATTTGCGACGTAACAGTACTGTAATTCCATCAACAGCTTGTTTCCTAGCTTGTTCGTGGAACTCCGGGTTATAGTTGCTGTTCAGTCATTTCGATCGCAGTGTTCCTGAGAATTGCGGCAACCCGCATGTCCAATGGGCATATTCGGAACACTTAACAACGACGGAACGCGAGTGACTTTTTTTGGGAGCAAACTCGCCGTTGGGAACCGATGTCATTGTTGGAACACAATGGAAATCGAGGTCATGGCGAAATACAACAATGTTCTTGGGACCACATTTTCGCATGTGACCTTGGTTAGTATTGTTGCCTTTGTTATTTCTTTCGAATGAGCGTTATCTTGAGTTCTAAGATCCTTTAAGCCGCGGTAATCAACAAAGCAACCTGCTGACGTCACCGCCCGTGTTGTGGCGTGACTAACACATTTGGAATTTCAGTGTACTCGGAAGAGTACCCCTTTCCTGTCGTGTTTAAATAGATTATAGGAGGGCAAATTGTAATGGGTTTCACACTGAACGAATTAAATCTTTCACTCAGAGACGTAATGACTTCCTGATTTGTGTTACGTGTAAATGATACTTATATGCTGAGTACGTGTCAGATAATTGAAGTGCCATTCAGATGAGCGTTTGCTTCCCGAATATTTATTCTGCATTTCGATGAGAACGACCAAAAGGTAGCAGCCATAACATATTACAACGTGCAATCGCCACATTTTCCCGGAGATGCTGAGGAAAATCACAAAATATTGTACTTTTGTTTTAATTGCGGATTCTTGTATTTGAAATTATTATGAGAGTTAAGGCTTTCGCGGTAACCATGTTGGTGTTGGTTTTGTGGGTTTGTATCGCCAAGTGGACTTGTAGGTAGACACCGACGTTTCGGATGAACATATTGCCTCCATCATCAGGCCTGAAGATGGAGCTAGTCCATTTAGCGTTACAACCTAGAATACCAACGGCTGCGAAGGGATCGTGTCTTCATATAAACCCGCAAATTTGTCTTATATACGGAACCGAAATTCATCTCAGTGAGACGCGTACACTATTTCACACAAGAACTGATGCCTTGGACGCAGATGAAGCTCTGTGTGTGTGAAAGTATTTATCAGTTTCTGAGAGCACAGACTGTACTAGTATCTTCCTTAAATGATACGAAAGAAACAGATGGTCTGTGCCGGAATTAGTTTTTGAGGCACCCTATGCCCCACTGCGTTACTTTGTTGCTTGACAGGTAGGGCGACCTTCAATATCATGAAATACCAAAATACCAGAGTTTGAATTTTAAATGTAGTTCTACTTGTCGTCATAGCATTACACTTGAGCCCCATGGAGTGGCCTAACTCACGAAGAAAAAGGACTCAAGTCAACTTCACTTACGTCTTATTCTTAAAATAAATGTCGAGGCGCCGACACAGATAACTCTAACGTCATTGCTGCCATGCTCGAGTCTTAATTGTGGTATTATGACAATAACTTAGAACTGTTACGCTGTAAGGACGTTTCCTAACTTGTTCTCTATTTGTTGTCTCACGGAAGCTGAAGTCGTGGATTCGTGTTTTATTTTATCACGTGTACAAAATTGTCAGCAAACTGTAACTGTATTGGGATTGCCTGATTCATACATAAAAGACGTTTCAAGATCTGATTATTTTTAGTTGCCATGCGACTGATTATCATTATACATACTGAAACTTTTTTTTATATTTTTAGCTTCTAGTTTAATGGTGATTATGACAATCGAACGCAGGACCATTTGAATACAAGATTTAAACTTTAGCCCTTAGATTTTTGGAAAAACAGCCATTTTCCAAAGATTCGTGTGACCCTGTCCATCCAACACAACTTATTGTGTAATTCATCAAGTGAATGAAACAGACCGAGAGCCGTACGTAGAAGAAGCTTTACCGTAGTCATGGCAACATATGCAAAGAGAATTGTGTCGCTCTTTCCTGAAGGATATGTCTTTTAACGTAGTTTGTTACAATTCAGGAGCACTAAGATGTAGGGACTACACCAGTTTTACTACCGCTTTGAGGGTGGAAGAGAATAAACCAAGGGTTGAAGAGGGGGTTAATAAAGATAGAAGACCTAGCAGGGAGAATGGAAGGGATGTATGACGTCAGGGTTCAGGAGTATGTGTAAGGGTAGCAACAAACATGAACTAAGCTCTCAGCACTGGTGCGTTTTCTGCTTGTTGGTGAATGCAGAAATGAGACTACGTATATTTCGGACTGCTACTTGATGGCGGTAGATTAAATATTAACGTGAGGATAGCATTGAGGCGGTGTATCAGCTGGCGGCATCTCGTGTCTGCTTGAGTTCTCAGTTAACAACAGAAGTCGGAAGTTGTACACCAGATGAATCTGCAGTTGCGATTCTGTATGCATCATTAACTTTGGCTTTGATTTGTTTGTGGCGCGGGCTGAATCTTCCGTTGAAAAGTTGGTAGGACGCTGCATAGAGTCAGAAATTAAATGTATTCGAAGAAGCATATGGTGCCCGTCTTCAGGACTTTCCATACAACAGCATCGAGAAGTCTCTTAGATATCTGATGATACAGCATTGTCTCATCGCGTATCTCATAGCTACGTTGCTGTGATGAGTAACAATTCTTACTGACAGCTTATTGATAACAAAATACTCATTAATGTCAGAAACATCCAGTACTTGAAAGTTGTAGCAAATCAAACCATTTTATTCTAAGCGCGATGGCGTAGACAAACAGGCAGCTTTGGATTTCACTGTGTTCTGTTAGCACAAAGATGTCTTGTCACTAAAATTGTGACGCACTCCTAATTTAGTTGAGTGTACTATTACACAGTTGACACTTGACAATCCGCTTCCTGTAACCCCCCCCCCCTTCCCACCAAATCCTCCCCACGCCATTCTTATTACACCGTAGAGAGCTTCTTAAATGACCCATGCAATGTTAATCATCGGCATGGACTATTTTAAATGGTTTTAATATAGGGGTCACTCACCTTACTTCTCCTCTCTCGCTCATCAGCATCTTAAAAATCTCTTATCGTCTCTCTTTCTCGTGTTCCCATTCCTGTCTTGACGGGCAAATATTCTATTCATTTAACCATTCCACTCATTCATTTCTTCCTTCTTTCATTCTTCCTTCTGTAAAAAAAAAGTGTACAAAGTACACTGAAGTGACACTGTGCTTTTTAGAACACAAACAAGCATGTTTCAAGACCTTTATTCTACTTGTTGTTTATCTGGCCCGCAGTATTGTTATTAGCTTTCTTTACAGCTGTTAGGAGATGAAGGGCTTGTCTCGAGGAAACGGTGATTGGTTGAGGAGATGACATTTGTTATGGTGATTTGGTGGCGAGTACCAGGCGATAGCTGTAGTTAGCAGGTTTTATTATAAAGATGAAGGGTCCACTGGGAACAAGAGGACTTACTTGTTGTAAGGATGGCAGTACCGGTGATAATGGTGTTAAATGGTGTTCCTCTTCTTCTGCTTCCAGGAAACCTACCGTAGACGAAGTTGGGAACCCCACATCTGTAAATGCTCGGTAAGTGCATTCAAAAATTTTATTTACTTCTGTGGGAAACCACTCCGCCCCTGTTTGCGATGCCTTCAGTGGTTTATCGAAGAGTACTACATAATTGAAACGCCTTTGAAGTGCCAGCCGAATGAAACTTGTGGTGGAGGACACAACACTACGTAATGGAAGATTTCCGTGCTTCGGAAATTATTCGAGAAACCGCAGCATGATGGAAATTAAGTAGATCCGTACCTTGTAGTTTTTTTCAGTAAACCATGTGAAATAGAATCTCGTCTAAATAACGTTTAAGTATTAAGTTCGGACCTTAAAGAAACACTTCTCCCTTTCACAAAGTCACTGATTCTTAAGGAAGATGGTATATATAATTATCACCAAGCTTTAAATGGATAATTCTCGCCATGAACACCATATTAAAGCCGTCTGGTCGACGTTGAAATTATCTGTAATAGCATGATTAATTACAATTAATAGCTACAAGTGATTTATGTCTGTTGTATGATCTAAAGCTTTCGCGGCAACTGACTTCAATAAAAATTTCCCGCTCTGTCAGCCGTGATAGTTCGTTAAAAATTGACGTTTCAAGGACCAGCTCCGTTCTTATCGTCAAATCCTGATAATGGAGACGGAGCTAATCTGATCTGTGAAACGTAGATTTTTAAGGAACTGGTGCAATTGAAAATGTCGGTGTTAGTCTTCTGGGATGTAACGTAACTTGTAGGAACATATCAGGATTTCGGAAGAACCTACCCGCCCTGTAATATTGCAAGTACTTCAAAAAAGTCAGGGATGGAATTGTGAATCATGAATGTGTGGGTGATTTCACGGACGATATTCGCAAGCGACTGTTTTAATAGAGCGGTTACGGGATCACTCCCCTATGAATCAGAACGCATTCCTGAATTAATCGTTACTTGGCTGTTGGGTGAGGCGTGGGGGAAAATTCCAATTTTACGACCTTACGGGTTAAAGATTATTAAGCCTTCGTCTTGCAACGTTGCAAGCAATACCCGAGCTGGAGTCTAGCGTCAGAGATACCACAGGAATCATTGAGCGTTACTGATGACACCATGACGTACAGGCCTCATTTATAAGCTGGCAGTTGCTCAGATTGTCGGAATGACTAGCGACCGGCCGATTCAAATTTTTCCGTTTTATTCGATCCTACAGCAAATGCTGAGTTGGTACCCAAATTTTACATTCTTATACAGCATAAGTGTCCCTCAGAATAACCAAAATTTCGCACTAAATTAGCTCCCTCTCAATGATAAAAATTTCACATATTACAGTTCTACCAAGATTAACATAAGATTTAAAATTCTAATCGGACGTACCAAGATCCTTCTAAACTTTCCCTTTGCTTAATGTCTCGTCACTCTACCTTCTTCATTTCAACTTAAATTTACCAAAAGGACGAGCGGGCACTGTTTGAGAGCCTTTATCGCCGAAAAATTCTCTTTCTTCTTCCGTTAAACTTAGTATATCTCGATACTCTCCCTCTGCTTTTCTTCTCTGGCTTCCTTCAGCTTCGAAGGCTTTATCCTCCGTCTAGCCCGTAGGCTGGAGAACCATCCCTTGTCGGCTACCTGAGACTACTTATTGAATAACTAATATTGGCAGCTACCGTCCGTGTCTGAAAGCCGTCTACGCCGATCACAATATATGGCGTGTGATGCTGTGGTGTTAATTAGATTTTTCAGTCCCGTTTCTCTTGTAAACCAGTCCAAGTTGAAAATACAAAAACATATAAATTGAATAGCAGCAATAGAATATCTAAATTATGATGTACTGTAAATGAACTTAAAAATGCAAAATAAAAATTTAACTTATAGATTAATGTACTGTATAAGTAAGGAAGTATACATCCATTTTGCCCATTGCAAAAGAAAGAAAATTTTATAGTCTTAGTGAATAATAGGTTAATAGTTTGTGTTTGATCAAAAATTTATCAAATTCAAATTTTGTTCGATAAACATGAGGAATAGATAGGCCAGTGCGAAAACTGGTTTTATTCTGGTGATCTGATTGATTTCAAATGGCGTCTAGTTGTAAGCTTTTGTAAAGACGGTATTAAACATTCGGTTTCTACAAAAAGAAACTTCTTGAACAAATGATTAACCTCATATTACGAAAGGAAGAACTACGAACCTGACAATTATAGCGCAGAATCCTGAGTATATTCATGCATATTCCAGTTCTCACAAATTACGCTTTCTCCTTTAATTGAAGCACAAACTCATCATGCTGGAGGATAAATTTACCAAGCATCAATGGAGGGCTGAAAGGATTGGCCTGAGACGTGTTTCTGTATTCAGTCATGACCGTGTTACATTTAAAAACGTATCGAAATTAGGTCATTAGTATCTCCTGTGGAGTAACAGAACGAGTGGTGGAGTGTAAAATGATTATTATTCAGTGTTTACATTATAGAAATGTTTTAACTCAGACTAGTGGTACTAAGATTTGTTGGATTTTTAAAACAACTTACTTCAGCCCTGAAGATGAAGACAGTATGGTTCTCCGAAGCGTTGGTATCTATCTAAAGGTCTGCAAGGGGTTGCTAACCAGAAGACAACACCGACTTCTACACTGCCGTCAGAATCTCGTATCTCATGTCCTGTCCAGCAAGCTTCATGTTTAAAGCAAGTGCTCATGTTAGAGGTTAGTTCACGTGTATTCTGTGGTGGTTAGTCATCTGCCGTAATCTCAGAACCTGGTTATGTGTACAGAAGAGATCCGAGATAATCCCTTTTGCAATCTGTGGTGTGGAGTCTCGCGTTTGTCTCAGCAGAAAGGCTTAAAACCACTGGGTGTGACCCCCTCAACCACCTGGATATCTTCACCTCGCTAGCAGATGGCCTTAGGTCTTCTTGTAACATTGTACCGTCGTGTCTTCCAGAAAGGACACGCAACTCCTCTGAGACAAATCAGTGTAGCTAAACTTCGAGTCTTAAGATTGCTATCTTTTGCGATATTGCGCTGTCTAGTCTGGTAGAAGCTGACCGACGTTTAAGAGGTCAGATTCTACCAGTCTACACTTCGCAACATCCCAGAAGTCAGCCATCTTTATACTCGTCGCTGTAAGAACCTGTAGTCTCACAAACTTCGACTTGAGGATGTTTGGTAGTGTCTTGATTTTCGATATTAGTGTTGCTGAGCTGCTATATACATTCCTGAACTCCGAATGATATTAAAAGTATCCATGGCAACCTTTATTTCTGCCCTGAATTTTTGGTGATAATTCATCTTAAGCTTACGTTGCTTATGAAGTTTATTACAGTTAAACGTAAAAGACTAGTCGAAACATACACGCAATGAAAATAACTGAATCACGAGATTATTAAATACTGCATATTAAACAAGTTGTATGTGATATAACATATACTTTTATTATTTTAGTATAGTTTATTTTAATATTTAGCAGGGCAAATGAGAGTTCTTGATATATTTTATAATGTTATAATAATCATTTATTATTAATGTCGTGCATAAACTGCCAGATGGTCAATTACAGATACAGCACAAGGGAAATAAAGTGAAATGCAATAAATAATGATAATAATAAGAAGAATAGTTTGTTGTATAAGTGGCGTAGTTTTAAAAGCGAATTACGTGTTTGAAGAGATAATATTTAGTATGTTATTAAATGAATGGAAATTTCTAATGATTTACAGAAATTTGGTTTGGGAGCTTGAAGTGTTTTTGTAGACATAGTAAGCCCAGAGGCGGTGCTGCGAACAACAAAATATTTTGTTACTGTCACTTATTTGTCAACCAGGACTTCCCTATAGAATTTAGTACCTCACAGTCTCTTCGTTACCAGAGTACCTGCGGTGAAGCAATAACTTACTTCTTAGCTGCACCTGGTTGTTCCCGTTTGCTTCGTAACTAGTTATGAAATACAAAGGTCATAGGGAGTACAGTCAACAGAGTTAGAAAATTAAATTCTTTAACAAACATGAAGACCTGTTGCGTATTTTCTTTTGACTGGAGCTTAGAAATTTATGTTTAAAGCTATTTCAGATTGACATGTACCAACATATCTTCGTATCTATCCTGTTCGTGCTTGTATTGCCTCTGTTTAATGTAGAACCATTACATTTCTTATTTAAATTACACTTTTATATTCATAAAATTGAATTAAACTGCAGGTCTATGGAGCACATTCATTCTTGTGAAGTTTTTAATCGCTCAGATGGTCTAGAAATGACATGTTGTGTGCCTAATCATTAGGTTTATTGTCGTTTTTGCTACCTCCATCATCAGAGTGATCATCGCTCTGGGGGTGGAGGCAGCAGACACATCGAAACGTCGGTAAACTTCTACCTGTAAGATTTGAGGTTATCACAGCGGTTAGTATGAAGATTTCTGTCTTCTGGGTTGTTGTACTGTGTAGTCTGGTCGATGTTAACCAACGGTTCAGAGGTCATACTGCCTCCGTCATCAGGGCGATTCTTAGTATGAAGATTTCTGTCTTCTGGGTTGTTGTACTGTGTAGTCTGGTCGATGTTAACCAACGGTTCAGAGGTCATACTGCCTCCGTCATCAGGGCGATTCTTAGTATGAAGATTTCTGTCTTCTGGGTTGTTGTACTGTGTAGTCTGGTCGATGTTAACCAACGGTTCAGAGGTCATACTGCCTCCGTCATCAGGGCGATTCTTAGTATGAAGATTTCTGTCTTCTGGGTTGTTGTACTGTGTAGTCTGGTCGATGTTAACCAACGGTTCAGAGGTCATACTGCCTCCGTCATCAGGGCGATTCTTAGTATGAAGATTTCTGTCTTCTGGGTTGTTGTACTGTGTAGTCTGGTCGATGTTAACCAACGGTTCAGAGGTCATACTGCCTCCGTCATCAGGGCGATTCTTAGTATGAAGATTTCTGTCTTCTGGGTTGTTGTACTGTGTAGTCTGGTCGATGTTAACCAACGGTTCAGAGGTCATACTGCCTCCGTCATCAGGGCGATTCTTAGTATGAAGATTTCTGTCTTCTGGGTTGTTGTACTGTGTAGTCTGGTC